ACATAAGACATTGACCCCCCCCCCCTTCGTGGAATGACTTGTAAAGTCTATAAATATAAGTGGGCCTGACTGTCAAGAAATGTTGCTGACATAGATGTAAAAATTAGAATGCAGCAAACAATGTGATAAGCTTTTAGATTTTATCTGTATTATCCTCCCTGGTTTCTTCGAAAGACTGTATAGAGACTTGGCTCAAAGCAGAGATGTGGATGTATGCATGCTATAGCTTGGCTAAATAAATTGATACTTTCAATTTGAGGTTGGTATTAGGGGACATTCTATGAACCTGGAGTGACTAGTAGAGGGCAAAAAAACAAGGTGCAAGAGGACACAGATAACGGACAACAGCTCAGATCTCAAACTGGTTTTAGCTCATCTGGACCTTTAAAAAAAGAACCAGCCCATTTGCATATCAGACTGATCCCACCCAAAAGGGCGGAACAAAATCGTATAACAATTTGTCATTTAGGATGATAGAAAGCAATCTTGGATCGTTGGCGATTTCTACATTTGATTCTGAGTACACTTCTTTTTAATATTGTTTTATTAATGGCTTTGAAGTGGCAACTAAAAAGAAAGATTCCCCCTGGAATAATAAGGGAGGGGGAACAGGACTGCTGCCCAAGATTTTGGGATGGATTAGGGAAGATACAATGTTGCTAATGTTGGGGGTTCTTAAGGAAAGGGAGAGGCAGGGGACTTACCAGTCGGCAGGATTAGTTGAGGGCTCCTAACTGTTTTCCTGGCTGACTGTCCCCTGTAATTCAGAAAATTATTATTATTATTATTGTTATTATTATTAATTAAAAAAAAATCACCTAAACGGCGAATCTACCCATAGCCTGTGGATCTCACGGTTATGGCTGCCCGAGCTGCTGACTTGCAGAGGCTTCTGCAAGCTTACCTCGAGTCCCACGGTCGAGGGGCCCTGGATGAATTAATGTCGGGGGTGAGGAGCGTGGCCCAGGAGGAAGGAGAGGCGTCTGGTCAGCCTGTGGCATCTGGCAGATGGAGGGCCAGGAGATCAAGGCCTCCGTCGCGCCTTTCCCCCGAGCCTGGTCCGGCAGCGTGAGAGGAGACGTAGTGGCGGCTCGGCTGCGCACTTGGAGCGTCCATCGGTCCCCAGGTGGCGACGGAGTCGGCTGCTGACGGTGTCCGGGCTCAAGATGGCGGCTGCGGCAATGGCAGAGGTGACCACGGAAGATCGCGCAGCCCGCGCTATTCTTCTCCGGCCCAACCGGACGTGACATCAGTGCGCACGCCATATGAAGACATCAGGACGCAAGGCGCGTATATGACGACATCGCGCAGGAGAGCGCAGCCGTCACAGGCCTTGCGTTCCACCGTATGTTCCACTGTGATTACGCCGGTGCGGAAGATTGTGGTCGGGCCAGGAGACTGACCGCGGGTCCCCCCATACCTCGGCAGGGTCCAGTTCTGGATCGGAGGAGGAGGCATCCCAGCATCCTCAGGCGGCCACAGGTGAGTATTGCGCCAGTGCTTGGGATGCGCTGGCAGGAGTAGTAGTAGTGGGTTTGGGGGGGGGGAAAGGTGCTGGGGTTGCTTAGGGCAGTTTTAGAGAGGCTCCCAGGCCCAGCTGCTAGCGCTCCCTTCCTAGTCCTGGGATCAGAGTAGGCATGTGGTGGTGCGTTCTGATGGGTGCGGGGGTGCTTGCCGGGTTGCATGGTATGCATATGGTGTTAGAGGTTAAGAAGATCATAAAAGGTGAGTACGTAGACGTACTGTCCCTGGTCCCTCTGGACCGGGAGTCAGTGGATAGACCGCGACGGGGGGAGACGGCAGACGGCGAGAAGAGCAAGCAGCTGCCGCGTACGTTTGGGAACTGGCTTCAAGGGTTCTCAATATTTGCGAGTGTGCTGATGCGGGCCTTCACTGAGAAGGCACCGACGTTGTTTGGATACTTAGACCTTATATGGGGGGCATACAAGGTTTATGGGGGTCAATGTTGGTTCCGCTATGACCAACAATTTCGCCAGAAGATGGCGGTGTGTCCGGGTATGGACTTTGGGGTACAGGACGGGAGCCTTTGGCTCTTAATGATGACCCCCAGTCGTCCGTCCCCCTTTCCTGGAGCGGCAGCGCAGGGGCGTCTGTTGGCTCTACAATGAGAGCCAGCCATTGCAAGTGGTTTGGATCATGTCGATTCAGACACGAGTGCTCTCATTGTGGAGGGGCCCACCTTGCTCTGCGCTGCTTCAAGAAGGGTAAACAAGGTGGGAGGCCCACTAGGGAGGATCTCCCTAGTGGGGAGGACTCCGGTGAGCGTCCTAAGGATGCGCCCTTGGCTCGACAAGTACCCCAAGTGTAAGGATGCAGAGGTCCTGCTGAAGGGGTTTTCAGTAGGGTTTTGGATTCTGTTTGTTCATTCGGATTCCCCTTCGTTAGCAGACAATCTGCGTTCGGTAGTGGGTAAAGGTATATTAGAGGGGAAGTTGATGAACGAAGTTCATTTGGGCAGGCCCATTTGATACGCCACCATTTCCCTAAGAAGGAGCCTGGATCCTTTCATCTAATTCACCATCTGTCCTACCTGTCTGGCGGGTCGGTGAACGATGACAATGACAGGGAGGTGTTGCACATTCGCTATGCCTCCTTTGATTGGGCTCTGGAGTTGGTCCGGGAAGCATGGAGGGGAGATCAGTTGGCCAAGTCGGACATACAGTCCGCTTTCCGACTGCTCCCGGTCCACCCGGACTGTTTTCACCTATTGGGTTGCCAGTTTCGGGGTTCCTTTTTCGTTGATATGTGTTTGCCAATGGCCTGTGCTATCTCCTGTTCTTATTGTGAGATGTTCGCGTCCTTTTTGGAATGGGTGTTTGCTCAGGTTTCCGGGTTAGCGTTGCTAACTCACTATTTAGATGATTTCTTGTTTGTGGGCCCACGGGAGTCGGATGACTGCGTGGGGGTCTTAGATTCATTTAGAGCTGTCGTGTCGGAGTTTGGTGTGCGAATAGCGGGGGAAAAGGTTGGGCCGGTGGGGGTTCTGTCCTACCTGGGTATTGAAGTGGACTCGCGGACTATGGTTTTCCGGTTGGCGGAAGAGAAACTGACCCACCTGCTGTGTCTGGTGGATTCGGTTAAAGGAGTGAAAAAGGTACAGCTCCGGCAGTTACAGGCATTGCTAGGGCATCTGAACTTTGCCTGTTGGGTGCTACCGATGGGCAGGGCTTTTTGCTGGCGCCTTTCATTAACGACGGTCGGAGTCAAACAGCCATTTCACTTCATTCGGATCACCCACAGATATCGAGAGGATCTGAAAGTTTGGAGCCCATTCTTGGGTAGGTACAAGCGTCAATCTTGCTGGCTGCGCCCGGTGGTGTCCAATATAGATTTGGAGTTGTACACCGACGCGTCCAGGGCAGTGGGCTTTGGGGCCTACTTTCAAGGAAGATGGTGCGCGGAGGCCTGGCCCCGCCACTGGCTGGAGACCGACTTGGGAGGTAACCTAGCGTTCCTGGAGCGCTTTCCCATTGTCGTGGCGATGGAACTATGGGCTTCAGAACTGGCAAGCCGGAAGGTGGTGGTGCACATGGACAACATGAGTGTCAGATGGGGATTAAGGCTGATCAGCAGTTCTGCCCGGTCAGGTGGCGGCGGGAGTTCTTGGAGGTACGTGGGATGGCACTCTATCTATGGGTATCTAAAGCGGTTTGGGCGCTGGCAGTCGCGGTGATTCCAGCTCTACGTACGCCCTCACTTGCTTTAGGCCAGTGGCACAGCGCAGGTTTTAGTTGTTTCGTTGTAGGTTCTTCCCCGCTTTTTATTTGGACAATCGGACACTCCTTTGTGTATTGGGCAGCTAGACGGGCCGAGAGTAGACCCTATGGCTGGAACCTCGGTTTACCATACGAGATAGCAAGGGTACGTTGTATGGGTATCCGGGGGCTGTCCTGGGACGGGTTATATTCTGAGCTGATTCAGCTCAGGCGCTACGTGTCGGGGGCGGGAACGATGTCGGACGGCGACAGTCGGTGGACCTGGTGCACGCGATGCGGCATGGCCCGCTGTGTTGCGTTGTTCGGAGATCTGACCCTCGTCTGGTTCGAGATTGTGCCCCGCCCGGTTTGGCGAACCGAGGGAAAGGATAAGGCCCTAGAGTGCTATAGGCGGAAGGTCAATATGACCATGGCCCGGTTCGTGCGCCGCCTGGGTGGTATAGTAGTAAGGCACGTTGACTTGGAAGGGGACAATGATGCACTAATGAGGCGAGATGTTGTGCACTTGTCCCCCATTGGGTTGGACATCTTTAACATGGGCCTGCAAGCTGGAATTGAGGAGGCGTTGTCGGGGGGCGTGATGCCCGCGCAGTGTAGTGCGCGACGAGGGGCATCGCGGTGGCAGTTTCCCTGGACAGCGCAGAGGATGAAAGGACGTTTCTGGCTGTCGAGGCTCATGGTACCGAATGTGTGTGAGAACTGCCTGTTGGGCAAACACCCAACAGCTGGCAGATTTGGACTGAGTTAAATTGTTAATTTAAATAAAGCTGTGGCCGTTGCCGTTATCCTCAAGAATGAGGTGTCACGTGTGTTATTGGAGGGCAGCGGGTTGTTGGTTGGGACTGGTTGGGTCAGCAGTCATGTACAGGTTTGTAGCTGACTCATACTATAAAGTGGCTCTGTCAGATCTACATTCCTCTGCGCCTCATGGGCACCACTATGCCAGTGGAGCAGTCGCCACATTGGATCTTTCCAAAATATGCAAAGATTACAGAAAGTTACACAACCACTTTAGTATATATTCAGTTCTGCAATATGACCATTTTTTAAAGGGACACTGTAGTCACCAAAACAGCTTTAGCTTAATGAAGCACTCTCATTGCTCAATGTTCTGGAGTTAGGAGTTAGGAGTTAAACCAATTTGTTTATTCAACCTAGTTACACCTCCTTTGGCAACTGATTTGCACAGCCTTCCTAAACACTTCCTGTACAGTGAGATCTAATGTTTACACTTCCTTTATTGCAAATTGTTTAATTTAGAATTTCTTATCTTCTGCTCTGTTAATAGCTTGCTAGACCTTGCAGGACTATCCTGCGTGTAATTAAAGCTCAATATACAGAGCAGTAGATAAACTTCTGCATTAAGTTACCATTTTAATTTTCATGCAGGCTGTGTCAGTCAAGAAGATGTGGCTAGGGCTGCATTGTCAGAAACAAGTGATTTAACTCCTAAATGGTAGTGAACTGAGCAGTAAATCCTGAGGTGTATGAGCAATACACCAAAATGGCTTAATTTAGCTTAAGTTGTTTTGGTGCTTATAGTGTCCCTTTAATAATTTATAGTGCAAATAACCCCTTATCTTTATTCATCCTATTAGTTTGTAGCTGCACAGATTTTCTAAGATACCCAGCAATATTCTAATGTCATGGACCTCTCAAATATATTTTATGTCTTGCTTTTACCGTAAAACTTACAATTGACTTATAGTCTTGCATGGCTTTCAGTAAGAGCCATATTGCAGCTTTGAACATGTGTGTCTTGTAGTAGCTTTGTATTTTATGAGTGAAGTGTGACATCTGACCTATTAGTCTCCGAAATATGTGATGTGCACAATTATGTAATTACAAGCAGTGGGAGGATACTATCTAGTCTACTGACCCTGGTGATTTTGTAACAAACATTGAGATTTCCTTCATTTTATTAGTAGTACAGGTGGTCCTCACTTTATGACTTTCCTGTTTTGCGACAGCTTGCACTTACGAGCAGCTCTCTAGCGTGGGTATTTTAGGGATTCCCCAAGTTAAAGAGCTGTTCATGATTCCCTGCGCTAGTGAACTGGTCTATGTTCGGGGGAATTCTCCCGAATGTAGACCTGCTCTTTTTCTCATGCTTGCTAGCGCATCTTCACTAACCAACCAATTTGTTTTACGACGGAGTCATAAGAACGTAACCCGATCGGTAATCAGGGGTGTACCTAGAGCTTTTGGCACCCGGGGCGGATCCTAAATTTGGCATCCCCCACTCCTAACTTTAAAATGTAAAAGAAAATAAAAAATAAAATAAAATATTCTAATGTATTTGGCACTCAGCAATGTTTGTGTATTTTGTTTATGTATATAGCACAGAGCACTGTTTGTTCATTTGACTGTAAGCATGTTTTTGTATGGAGTATGTGTGAGTGACTGTAGGGGTGTGTTTTTATGTAGTGTTGACATTTGTGTGTGGTGTTTGAATGCAGGGGTGTGTTTGTGTTTATTGTTGGAAGATGCTGAGATGTGTGCACATATAAACACACACTGTCACACATTCAGATACATACACACAGATGCATACTGACAGATTTGTAGGAAGGTGACAGTGTGGGAGGGAAGTGTGTAGTAAGGTAAAAATTTTGGTTGGGCAGGGATTTGG